CGTCTCTGGGAAAAGAAATGTCAATGTTTTACATTGGTCTGGGTGCAGTGGTCCTGTGACTGTCCATTTAGCCCTCCATTTCATTGAGATGAAGTGGTCTGGTGGGTGACTTTAGTGTCCCTTTAATCATTAGCTTCTTGCAAAATAAAATAAATCCTAAAGTACCATATTGTGAGAATGATGCATGTTTCGCCTACCTTAAGGTAAATTTTTAGTATCAAGATGTTGGGAGTTTATACCTTTTTGATGAGCACAGTTTTCTTATTACAGGAATGCAATTCGATTCACTTAATTATTTACACAATTTCTAAAGTTAAATTAAATGGCAGCATAAGAATAAATAAAAAAAAAATCATGCTTTTGTTATATCAATGCTAGTACAGTGTAGGTATTTAGTGCATCTTAAAAACACCGTATATTTCACAGTTGTGTAACTTGTTCAAATATTGAACTATACTAGCCCCATGGAAAATGTTACCCATATTATTTCCTGTTGGTACAGAATCCTAATGATCAGGAACTGTCCATTAGACATATATGTAGAGGCAGAGGCGTAACTAAAAACTACTGGGCTCCCCCCATGTGTCTCATTTACTCTCTCCCCCCCAAGCCCCTCCATTTGTCTCATTCCCTCTCCCCCCAGCCCCTCTATTTGTCTCATTTCTTTCTTTCCTTTTTTTTTATACTTTGCTGTGCAAGAAAAGTACATACGAGCCTACGATGCCACAACAGCATGAGCAAGCGTTTTGGCAATAGGTTTACATAGTCATGACATAAAAAGAATTTGCACAGATTTTATGGTAAAGTAATAATGAACAGGCTAAGTAGGCATGTCTAACTGATGGGCACAAGGAGCCGGAGACCCAAGCTGGCTAAGTTTAAGATGTCTATTTGTCTAATTTCCTCTCCCCCTCTCAGCCCCTCTATTTGTATCATTCCCTCTCCCACCCCAGCCCCTCTGTTTCTCTCATTCTCTCTCCCACTCCAGCCCCCCATTTGTCTAATTTCCTCTCCCACCCTAGCCTCCCCATTTGTCTCATTCTCTCTCCCCACCTCAGTGAGAACATCCTATAGACTGTGGTGCTCAGCCATGCTACACACCAAGACCATCAGGAGGGGAGCAGCACAGCACAACACTCCCCTCCTGCCAGTAACACAGCAGGCCCCGGTCGTGTGGCAGTGCACCAGCCCTGACGTTGTGGTTGCCCATGGTCGCAGCTGTGGCCGGGCCCCCTGGAGTGATGGGCCCAGTCGCATCTGCGACCTCTGTGATCGTGGTAAGTACGCCACTGTGTAGAAGACATTCTAATACCTCTAATCTTTATTTAAAAAAAAAAAAAAACTGCATCGAACATCAAATATGATGTTATAAGTGAACCTGGAATTGAAAAGTGTGTATACTTTTTATTTTAAACTTTCTATTTTTTTTTTCCAATATAGAATCAATTTGTACAAGGGATGATGAAAAGAAAGGAATGCTTACATGAAATAGGAGGTAAACATTGATGAAAAAAACTCCTAATGCAACTGCAAAGGTCGTGTTAGGCTGAGAGCCAATTACCAGTTTATGTTTGCTGTAAAACCGATATAACAATTTGTCCTTTAATATATGAATTTTCAAAGCAATTCAAGATGAGACATGGACACACATAAGGGAAGAATTACTTTGGAAAAGTGATCTAAACACACACACACACACAGATGCACTGTTATGACTTTTGACAAACTTTTTGGGAGCATAGCTTGTGGACTAGCCTTCCATTTTCTGCATCCAGAAAAAAGTTGAGGTTTCTCTTTGATGAATGATGTAGTATAACACTAGTTGGGTATTCAGAACCTACATAACAAGTATAGGATGTACTCTGGTACGGAGTCCAGCCAAGGGCTAAGGCCCACTTGAGACATGTTTAAAGATCTCCCTAACGGAATAGCTGCAAAGAAGCCGGCCACTTACTAACTACATTAAATAGTCGTGATAGTGTGGGGACGATGTGTTGTTCAATCACTTACGCCTACTGTATGAAGGATGATGCACAGGAGAAAATTGAGTCAACAACCTAATTCAGACTGCTATCACTAGGTACCAGGTAAGCCACCCACCTGCACATAAAACACAACACAAATAGCAGCATTTGAAAATAACATTCTAAAATTAAAGAGTGGTGCACTCCTTGGCATAAAATACAAGCTTTGTGCTTATGTAGGCAGATAATAAGCTATCCAGTTGTGCATGTTAAACCTAAATAGCCAGCAAGGAAGCCATAGCATCAGCTTTTGCAGCAAAATAAAGTGGGGGTGTCCCTCTCTCTCACCCCACCCATCCACTATGGGTACCCCTTTGGAGATGACCACAGGAAAGCATAATTGAGGAGTCTCTGGAACCAGTTTTAGCTGTAAGTATTGCAGTTAGCATGTTAAAATGAGTGTAGGACTTCCCGATATTGGGGTACTGTGACGTAGTGGTGGGCTCAACACAATATGACCATTTGGTTTAACTGAATCCTGTTTATTTATTTTTTGCTAAGATAGGTGACTTTAAGTAGCCTTGTGAAATTTAAAAGTGTTTTTTTGTTGGTGTGCACGTGCGGTTTCCTTATCTGGATTTTGTATAGATTTTGGTCCCTACAGCAGCACCACCACTAAGAAATGCATGTTCCGGGTGTGCCCACAACTCTCCATTTTTCTTCTCTGCAGTACTGTGGCAGAACATCAGGCTGGCAGTAGCTGCATGGTTCTACTCACAATACATGGGAAGCTTATGATGTCAGTGATCTGGCAGCTGCCCAGTAATGCCAGGTTATATAGCCTGCGGCCATGCCAGCTTATTATCTTATTCTGCTCTGCAGTTCCTGGACAGAAAAATGAACAGCCTCCCCCAAACCCTCTACATGCTTCCTCCTAACCTCTGACTTTCTCCATACCTCCTAACTTTGGATTTCTGTGTAGCCCTGACACTGGTGTGAGGGGGTAAATAGGGGCCCAAGACAGTAAATCCTGGCAAACAATTTGGCCGACCTGACAAGGGCAGACCATGCACTGTTTGAGCTTAGCGCAAGTGCGCCTAATGATGCAGTTACGCTATGCTTGTTGGGGACAGCCCCTTGGTGTCCCCAAATGCAAGACACCAGGGAACAAAGTCAGGACAGTACTCTAAATTTAAGAGTGTCCCGCACAGCTGATACAAGGCCTGCTTCCCAGACAGCAGCTGCAAGGTACAATAGATTACATATATCCACTGTATTTAACCCTTCCAAGCATTTATCAACTGGTTTTCAACGGTCTCTATCCATATGCCTTAATGCTCTTTATTCTCCCATTTCGACCTTCTTGTCCCATAATCGGTCACTCTCTTCCCGCTTGTCTTTCCTGTTTGTTACAAACGGTCTGGTTTTAACCTGTCTTTGCAAGTCTATAAGACCAATAGAGAGGGGCTGATTGACATCGACAGACAGTGATAGGCAATTTGTCTGTGTCTTACCTGGTATATGGGTGAAAATTAGGGAGAAATAGTTGGAGTGACTGAGGCAATGAATTGGGGGTGGGGGGTGAGATAGGAGCAATGTGTGATTTGGGGAGGGTATGGATGAGTTTATTACCCAGAGAAACCTGAAGCTGGAGAGAACAGTACTTGCATTGTGGAGTTCTGTATTTTATATGTCACCCATGATGGACTGAAAAGAGTTATATCCACTTTAATGATTTCAGCGATATTAGTTGGGAACACAGAAATGGGGGCTGAAGCCCCTGGTCATTTTTCCACTTCGCAACACTCCTGGCATCACAAATTCGAGGTGGGGTGTTGCGAACATTGATGTATAAAAATCCAACATTACACTTTCACCATATAAAATATCTCTTTAATACATTGCTTGTACTCTAAAATAAAGACCTGAGCAGGGACTAACAATCAGCTAAGGCAAGTATGGTTACTTAGACCAGCAGCCTATGGTACTCAAAGCTGCAAGAGACAAACAGGCTCCGGCATACCAGGAGTCCCAGCAGGACTTCACATATCTGCTAGTGCAAACCAAGTGGTGATTGAGGACCATCCCTCACCACCTGCAGTCTAAGCATTGCTGCAAGAGTCCCTGCACTTGTGATTAGGGCCCTTGAGTAGAGCAGCCTGCAGCAGTCTCCACTGGACTGGACTGGACACAGAGAGGAAGAAGCCTCTCCCTCATACAAAGAATACAAATAGCCCGCACCCCCACAGACCCCACAAACAATATACATACATGCACACAATACATACACACCCCACAACACTAATATATCATCCACACGCAACCTCACAAGCAGTCCCCATACACAGTCCACATTCAAAGGCATTATATACAATACAACAGACTACTCCTGAACACGAACACTATTACCACCATCATCATACACACAAATACAACACTACAAAGCAACTGCGGCACCCATAAACAAAACAAGAAAAAAACTGCAACATTCACTGCTTAAAAATAAAATGTATATGGCACCAGCACGCCAAGAAACGTCAATATCATGTTATGGCACAGTACTACTAAAAGGTTACCCACCATGACCTAGATCAGGCCTTGACAAATTTGTTTGGAATATAATGTTGTATAATCCTTCTCTCACCACCAATACTTCCAATTGGTATCCTTTTGAGAGAAATCCACTCTGCGTTGTGTTTTTAATAGTGAATGTAATATCCCTGTGTCACCTCTTCCAAGAACTAACATATATCTTTATCCCCTTGTCCAGATAAATATATGACTAGCACTACTAAGGTATTCTACCCGATATTACAAATAAACAGCCAACACCATAGTTCTTACCAGAGAGAAATCTTTACTTAGAATCTGCCCAATTCAATATTACAGAAGAAGAATGTTACAGAGTTATAGTATTACAGTTACAATACATTCATAACACTCATACATTCCATCCATCTAATATCTACTGTATTGTGTATGTGCTGTGAGATGTTATGTGCAGCTTGTGCCTTACCAAACCTAATCTAATGTGATGTCAGTATCTTCTATTTTTAAAGGAATTGGTTCCCATGTTGTAAATAGCAAATTCCTCAGCTCAATTGATATGTAAATGTGATTTACTTTCCCAAGGCCCAAAGTGTTGTCTATCCTGTTATTTTATTTAAGTGTCAACTCTCCCAGCCATCCCTTTGCCTCTAACCCAAGGTGTGTTTTCCTAGATAGGGACTCCTTTGAAGACCAGTTGATATGTAAATGTGATTGGTGCCTTTCAGGTGCTGTATCTTTCCAACTATCTAAACAGAAACTCCCTTTGAAGATAATTCCTGACCTCCCATACACACAGACTTAATCAAGCACATATTAAACAGATATATACATAATATTTTCCCCAACATATAAGAGCCAGCTAAAAAAGTTAGGAGCCAGTCATTTTTAACAAAAAAGTGCAATTCTTAAAGGGACACTATAGTCACCAGGACCACTACAGCTTGATCTAGTTGTTCTGGTGTCTATAGCCTGTCCCTGCAGGCATTACAGTGTAAACACTGCCTTTTCCACAAAAAGGCAGAGTTTACTTTGCTGCTTAGTAACACCTCTATTGACGGTCACTCAGATGGCCACTAGAGAGTCCAGGGTCACTGCTGCACCATGTGCAGCACGCTGGTTTAGTGTCTCCAAGCTCTGCATGGAGGCGCTGAATGTTCCTCATAGAGATTGATTAATGTAATGCATCTCTATGAGGAGATTCGGATAGGTACATTTGCTGCGCATGCACAAAATCCACCCAATGCTTTACTAAGGGAAAGCATTGCCTTAGCTGAGATCATAAAGATTGATCATCTCAGCCATGAGAAACTGGCACAGCGTGAGAAAACAGGAAGAAAGGTGAGTAAAAACCACCTTCCTCATGCGATCGGAGGGGGCAGGTACCTAAATGGGCACACACACACACACTGACAGGCGCACACTCTGACAGGCTCACATACACACTTATGCTGACAACAGGCTCACACACACACTGACAGGCTCGCTCACTCTGACAGCACACACACACAAACTCAGACAGGCGCTCGCTCACACACATTTTTATTGAAATAGCCTCCCTACCTTAGGAAGAGAGCAGCCCCACTGGACCCCAGGAAAGGCCCACTCAGCTCTCCCAGTGTGCTAAGGAGCAGTACTCTGCCTGTAGCTCCTCTCTGCTCCCTCACGCTCTGCAATGATGCCGGAGCCGGAATTACATCATATTCCAGCTCCCAACATCATTAGACAGCACGAGGGAGCAAAGAGCAGCTGCAAACAGAGTACTGCTCCCATGCACAATGCTTCCGCAGGCGGGTGGGCGTCTCCAATATTCCCCATGACGGCCGCCGTCAAAGCTCCCTCCCACACTAGAGAGCTGGCAAATCCCAGATGCCAGAGTGAAATTTCTAGTCAGCGTGGCGATCTGGCGCCTGGGATTTGTCGAGCCCTGACCTAGATAATTGTTCCCAAGCCCTCCTTGTTAAACGATTTGTCCAACACATCATGACTGATATTTAGAGTATACGTTTCATGCTGGTTTTCTTATGAATTACATAACTTGATCATGCCAAATCTCTGGGTCTGAAAAAGCCCAGATAGCAACAATTCACTTATACTGAAATCTTAACAGGAGACACTTTCACAATGAAACTGTCTGTGTGCAGTAACCCTTTAGTTTTAATCCTACAATGCAAAACATTGTAGTTTGGTAGAAACTGCAGTGTTGATATTGCAGTGTTAACACACCTCTTGAAGACAGAGCAGCATTTGATTTGCTGCGCATGCGCACTAGCTTACCAATACGTCCCTATAGGGAAGCATTGGATTGGCAGAGATCAGTCTTGATCAGCAGCAAGTCGATGGCTGAAAAGTTAAAACTGTTCGACTATAGCGTTCGAAATACAGGTTTCTATTATTAACGCTATAGTGTTTCTTTATGAAAGAGAAGGTCTATCCTAGAAATCAGTGCCGACTCATAGCTGAACTTTTGCAGTGGTGGTCAATATTACTAGAATATATGGTGGTGTGGGAATAATGTCTCTCATTCCTGGATAAATTAGTCAAATATAGCAACGTCATTTTAAAGAGATAATATAGGCACCAATACCAATTCGTCTCATTGAAGCGGTCTGAGAGCAGAGTGCCTGTCCCCATTAGTCCTGCAATGTAAAATATAGCAGTATTAGAGCAACGGTTTACATTGGAGACAGCCACTAGAGGCAGTCTTAACCCTGAAGACAGCCATTAGAGGCATTTGCTGCAGTTTCACAGAGTTTGACTCCATGAAAAGACACCGGATGACAATACGCTTTGCATAAGGACATCCAGTGTCTCCATAAACCATTAAGTCAATGCTTTCCTATAAGCAAGTGCTAACGCACACTCAGACCTCGTCCCAAATTAGGTTCCTGAATTGCTGTGACGGAGGAGCCAAATCCAACGCTTAGTGGGGAAAAAACACAAAAACATTTTAAATAAACTCTAACTGCAAGGGAGCCGAGAAGGAATAGGATGGCAGAGGGCACTATAGTATTAGAATACAGATTTGTATTCCTAACACTGTAGGGTTTCTTTAAGCTCAGCTACCTGAAGCCTATAGAAAAACCAGTTGTACCAGAATATTTAAGTTGTTTACCCCGAGTTTTTTTTTTTACTCAAAGCACGTCAGTCCCCATTTATACATAGTGAAGATTAGTTGGAGATTGGACAAATGAGACTAGTTTGGGAGAGGATTGGATGGCATTGTGGGTATGTATAAGAGGTTACATGGCAGCTTTGTAAATGGGTAGGAGAATGACATCTTGGAAAACCCAAATCGCAGCGCATCCACCAACCCACACATGCTTTCAGACACAAATACACCCCCCAGACATATACAGTGATTCTCAATGTCGGGCACAGTGTGTGCCTGGCAGCAAGGCATGTTTTACAAATACAATTTTAATATGTTTAAGAGTTTTTACAGTGTGGCTTCCCTGTGATCCAGCACATACTGTGGGCTGTACTCACAGGGCGGTGATGATTGTTTTGGTCTTTCTGCAATCCCCGCCCCCTCTTTGATTGGACATCAATTCCTCCAGGTAAGGCCATCACTGGTTCTGGACCACGTAGAATTACAGGGCCCCTTGCTGGCCCTAACGCATAATCAATCCCGTTAACATATTATGGGATGTACCACTGACTTTAAAAGCTTAGAACAAACTAGCCCTGTTACAGGTCTACACTAGTTTGTAGGTACGCCCCTTCTCAGTATCCACCATTGCCCTTATCCTGCCTCCCCAATTTTGCTTATTTTCAGACACCAACAAGAGTAACCCAAGGCTTCCCATACACCTTTGAAACATAGAATATGACAGCAGATAACCATTTGGCCCATCTAGTCTGCCCAATTTTCTAAATACTTTCGTTAGTCACTGGCCTTATCTTATAGTTAGGATAGCCTTATGCCTATCCCACGCATGCTTAAACTCCTTTACTGTGTTAACCTCTACCACTTCAGCTGGAAGGCTATTCCATGCATCCACTACCCTCTCAGTAAAGTAATACTTCCTGATATTATTTTTAAACCTTTGTCCCTCTAATTTAAGACTATGTCCTCTTGTTGTGGTAGTTTCTCTTCTTTTAAATATAGTCTCCTCCTTTACTGTGTTGATTCCCTTTATATATTTAAATGTTTCTATCATATCCCCCCGGTCTCGTCTTTCCTCCAAGCTATACATGTTAAGTTCCTTTAACCTTTCCTGGTAAGTTTTATCCCGCAATCCATGAACCAGTTTAGTAGCCCTTCTCTGAACCCTCTCTAAGGTATCAATATCCTTCTGAAGATACGGTCTCACCAGTGTTCTGTACAATGGCATGAGCACTTCCCTCTTTCTATGAAGAAAAAGATGGTTAACAGTGGAGCAGTGTATCAAGAAATAACTGTTTAGGTGGTAAAACCCTAAATATATGCAATGTGAAGTGATAAGAAAATTATGCTAACTAGAATACTTTGGATTTAAGGGATGACTTCTGTGTAGTATTCCTCAGTACATACATACCAAAAAAACACTAAGACATAATAGTGTAGATTGTACAAAAAAAATAAAAAAAAATAAAAATAAAAAAAAGCTCAAATATAGACAGTGTTCCCACACAGTATACCCTAAAAAAAAAAAAGGGCTAAGGAAAGACTGGCAAAAAAATGAGGTAGATTCAATTGGGTATGAATTATAGATTTATTCAGTGACAAAATAAAATAAAAGATCCATACACACTAAAACTGCCTCTTACTAGATGGCTTAGTTCAAATGTGGATCTGGAGATTCCGGTTTAGGTAGATTAAGTTAGAGCTGCAATTGCGGCTTCACAGTGCTGTATTCCAGTGTGGTAGTCTGAGCGGTCACTTGTCTCCGCCCCCTTGCTGACAGCTACGCGTTTTGCCGGTTACCCAGCTTCCTCAGAACATTGATGCTGCGATATCCATCTTTGATGAGGGCTTTAAATCCCTTAGTTGCACTTCTCCACATTAAATGCCAGTTGCCACAACTCTGACCATTTTTCTAGTTTACCTAAATCATTTGCCATTTGGCTTATCTCTCCTGGAACATCAACTCTGTTACATATCATAGTATCATCAGCAAAAAGACATACCTTACCATCAAGTCCTTCTGCAATATCACTAATAAAAAATATTAAAGAGAATGGGTCCAAGTACAGATCGCTGAGCTACCCCACTGGTGACAAGCCCAAGCTTCGAATATATTCCATTAACTACAACCCTGCCTGTCACTCAGCCACTGCCCAACCCATTCAATATTAAAAGACTTAAAGATTCCAGCTTATTGATGAGCCTTCTATGTGGAAGTGTGTCAGAAGCCTAATGGAAATCTAGGTAAGAAAGGTCTACTGCACCAGCCAGATCTATTAAGTTACCTAATTAAAAAGAAAAAAATTAAAAAAATTTAAAGTGTAAGATTAGTTTGGCATGATCTCCCTGAAGTAAACCCATGTTGTCTCTGATCTTGAAATCCATGTGATTTTAGATGTTCAACAATGCTATGCTTTAACATGGTTTCCATTACTTTCCCCACTACTGAAGTAAGGCTTACTGGCCTATAGTTCCCTGACTCCTTAGCACCTTTAGCTTCTTTTCCTTAGTCGAAGGCATCCTAATGAACATTTGCTATGCTGTAATCATGCCTCCTTTACGTAGCCATCCCATGCATCCACTAAACACTTGTTAACCATGTGTTGACAATGAACACACCACAAATCCATACATAGTAGAAAAACGCATGGTTTCCACAAAAAAAAAAAAATTAAAAAAAAATAAAAAAAAAAAAAAAGTGTTCAGTGCACAAAGTCGCATTACAATATTTAGAAATAACCAGGACTATAGTTGAGGCTACCATCAAATTATACTATACACAAGTGTTGCACAAGGCAAGATTGCAAAATAAAATAAAAAAAAACACAACACTTTGCTGCAAAGCCAGTCAATCAAGATGGGCTATAAATATAAATTCACTTGAGCAGTTTTGACTAGGATCCTCCCGTAAACCATTATAAGAAGTTAAATCTGTACATTATGTACACAGCCAAATTATGGGGGAATGGCCATGCAAATGATCCAAGAGCGAAATTTCTCTTTTCCCCCCAGCCATTGTTTTGTCTCACTTTGATGCTTTTTTTGATAAACACAGGATCACAAAAAGCCACACATCAAGTCGCTTAGGTTTGTTTAAATATCAAAACGTTCTACCTTTATTTCAATTATATTCCAGTGTTGTGCTCAGCACATTAGTTGGGGTGGGGAGCAGGATTTTATTGGGAATGAAAACAAACTTTTGGCAGAGTTCTCCTTATAGGAATGAGATTGCTTTTTGTGGCTCATTTTCAGGCCTGTTTTCTCCATCCCATCTCAGAGGGCCTACACGGCTACATGAAGATCCAGAATTCAGACATACGTGACCATATGGACAGCAATGCACCCTGTCTGGGCAGCACACGCCCTGAAAGGAAAGACCGAGGTTAATGCTTTCCAAGTGATTGAGGGAATTGGAGCATTAGCACAGAATACCTTTGCCCATCATTAATGTCCCTGGTACTTACATGTGCATAAGGGCAGCATTGCCAAACGCCACCTGGTCCCACACAACATGTCTGGCCATCGTAGCATGCATGGGAGGAGTCACACCAAACGTAGTCTACAGGTTGGATTGGAGTTGTAGGGTTGGAGGTTTTTGTCTCCTGGATTGGGGCTGAAGGGACTGGAGGTCCTAACCAGCTCAAAGGGCCAGCACGGCTACATGCCGCTCCAGAATTCAGACATACATGACCATATGGACAGCAATGCACCCTGTCTGGACAGCACACCCCCTGAAAATGAAAAAGATTTTTTGAGTGTTTAATACTCAAGTGTTCGACACTATTTTAGTATCAGGCCCACCCTTCCTCTCCAAAAAGGGTTAAAAATCGTACCTTTACTGCAGCACCACCACAAAGGTTGGCTGCCGCTTACTCTGACCACTTCGAGAGAGTTTAGAATTGGTAACCTCAGCTAATCCAATGCATCTCTAGGATTAATGTTCAGTGTCTCCACTTAGAGCGTGGAGATGCTGAAAGTCTGCAGCACTGACCCAGGAAGGGCCTCTAGTAGCAGTTAGAGTAACTGCCACTGGAGATTTTCCTAGGGAGCAACGTAAACACTGCCTTTTCTCTGAAAGGGAGAGTGTTTATAGTTCGTCACTGCAGGCTTTTTAATGTACTCACCAGAACTACATAAAACTGTAGTGTCCCTTTAACACAAATGACCCCTGCCCAACACACCAGATCATGGTACTTACATGCGCATAAGGGCAGCATTGCCAAACTCCGCCTGGTCCCACACAGCAGGTCTGTCCATCATAGCATGCATGGGAGGAGTCGCACCAGACGTAGTCTACGGGTTGGATTGGGGTGGTAGGGTTGGCAGGTTTTGCTTGCTGGATTGGGGTTGTAGGGTTGATCTGTTTTGCTTGCTGGATTGGGGCTGAAGGGACGGGAGATTCCAACCAGCTCAGAGGGCCAGCACGGCTACATGCAGCTCCAGCATTCAGACATATGTGTCCATATGGACAGCAATGCACCCGGTCTGGGCAGCACACTCCCTGGAAGGTAAAGGTTACTGTGAGCTTTTAATGCCTTCAAACTGTAAAGTTAGATGGAATTGGAATCATTAACACAGATGACTTCTGCTCATCAAGGGGACACACCATATCCCTGGTACTTACTTGTGTATAAGGGCAGCATTGCCAAACGCCGCCTGGTCCCACACAACATGTCTGGCCATCATAGCATGCATGGGAGGAGTCGCACCAGACGTAGTCTACAGGTTGGATTGGGGTGGTAGAGACTGAAGGGACGTTTGGTTCTGACCGCTGGTTGGCTTTGTTACAGACACCAAGTGACACATCACATGTGTATCCCTCAGGACAACAGTGTTGGTGGTCAGAGCAACACACAGCCTGCAAGGTCAGGAATGGAAACAGTTATCCTACAGCCACACACTTCCATCAATCTAGCAGAGATAAATGCAGAGTTTCACATCATGCCATACCTTTGCTTTGAGATTTTGCCCTAGTGATCAAACTAACACGCACAGATTAGAATTCGACAGCAGATCACATTACCTTTAGAATATCAGCATTATTAGAAGGACACCGAGGCACAGTAGATCACTACATGTCAGTTTGTTAACCAACCTCCCCTCCAGATAGGGAAGTGCATTTTAACTACAGTCATTGGTCCTGCTCATGTAAGTTAAATTTTTTTTTTTTTTTTTTAACCTACAAAACATTAAAGTAAAAATAGAGATTTGACAAGTCAACATCTTAATTCACTGTGGTGATCCCATATACCCCATTCTGCAGGCCTACCGAAATATGGGGTAGGAGGGGCAGCTTTTCATCATGCTAGCTTAGATCTACAAGTAAAACCGTGCATAGTTCAGCCAGTAATGAGTGTTTAGGACAGTTAACTCAGCCAACACTAATGTAACTGCTCTGGAATACAAAGCAAGTGAGAAACCAGTCAATATCAGAATTGCAAGAACTCTAGTTTTATGTAGCAGAACAGGAAACATGGTTGACTTCTAGCGTTATTCACGAAAGCGTGACTTGCTGAATTTAAAACAGACAGTTAAGGAGTCAGAGGCAGCATAACCACTACATTTGCATGTTAGAGCAATGCAAGACGTGATATGCAATAAAGTATATACCTTCTCTATAGGGCAACATCCCCAGTCTCCATCTGACTTGCGGCAGCACGTACTCCCATCTGGACAGCTTGTACTGGCGTCACACGGAACCCTATTAGCTGCAGAGAAAGAGCGACAAGCTGCATGTCTATGGGTTGGACATGAAGATCCAGAATACAGACATACGTGACCATAACGCTACAACATTAAGAAATTCATTAGTAGGGTGCAAAGCTCAGAGTGGGGCAGCTATGGGGGGGTGGATTTGCATTTTCTACCCGTTGTATTGGAGGATGGTTAAAGGTCTCTCCAGAGCTGATGGTTCACAAAGTTCTTTAGTAAGAAGGTACAATTGTATGCTCCTGTCATGTTAGAGGGTCCTTATTGCAAGACTCTTGGGCTGAGTCAATGGTCATGGATTGCCTATAGGGTCCAAGTCTTGCTCCCATAAAGGCAAACCTACTGATGTTTTAGTGACGTCCCCTGGCAAGTATTGCAGGAAAGGCATTTAAAGTGTTCCTGCTGAAAGAATAGCACTTTGTTGAACTCAAAGAGGATGCTGGGGGATTTTGCCAGCCCTTTATTATTGCTTGCATTTGGTATGGTTATTTAAATGCCCAATACTGGCAGAAAGGAACATCTTAATCTGCCAGAAGACCAGGGGTGGAGATACAGTTTGGTCCAATACGCTATGACCAGTCAATGGAAGGGATTCTGGTCTGTTTATATGATGCCAACCAATAGTTCTATAGGTGCATTGCGAGGGGGATAAGTTTACCATTAGATGCCACGTTTGTCAAAGCAGGCAGTTTTTTGAATGCTGGTATGGAGTTCTCTCCCTCCAGACATTGTCCACCAGAACATGTGTGACCACTGGGACAGCAGTGTTCGTGGTCATCACAGCACACAGCCTAGAAGTTAAAATAACCACAAGTTAGTCCAATATGCAAACTCTAGACCAGGTCAGTGTATGTATATTATATATATATATATATATATATATATATATCCTACATGTTCAAGAGGGCAGCAACCCCATGCGCCAGATTTCAGACGGCAGCAGGTGGCCCCATCTGGGCAGAATGCAGTGTCATTGCATTGGACATTGTTTTCTATTTTGGGTATAAAAAAGAAAGTTTAGAAAATGCAAACCAGTCTAAATACTAGACTCAAAACAACCTATAACAAGTCTGGCACTTACCCTTGTGCTTCAGAGCTGGAGTTTTTCTGAGAAGTGGTATGGAGACACCATCATTAACACATTGGGACCCAGAACATGTGTACCCACCTGGACAGCAGTGGACATGGTCATCACAACAGACTGCCTGGAAGTGCACACAAACTGGAAATTTAGCAATGGCATTATAGAGTCCATTTTTAAAGTTGAATTATTTTGTGTAGGGTCTACAGTTCAACTCAGAAACCAAGAAAGTTCAACTGTAGAGACACTGCACCACAATATGTACAAAGGGAATAAGATGCATACAATTTTAGAAACACTGTGGTATGGTCCAGCAGATGGGAAAATATAGGCCAGCAGGTCAGCTTTATGGTCATTTCTCTGAACCTCACGTCAATTAATAAAAACCTTGTAGGAAGAGTGGTGGACACAAACCTAGAACTCCGAGCAAGTAAAATTTCATTACAGACAAGGCAAATCAAGTAAAGAAACAAAACCCAAGTTGAAAACAGTTTAATTTCTCTGCTCTGCATGCTCCCTTTGCCAGGAACACAGGGGAGAGTCTATAACAAGGATTGAAAGGGAGAGGCCCAGAAGGTTTTAAATCTATAGATACAGCAGGGAAGGTGGAGGAGAAATTTAACCAAAGATAAAAAGGTCACCCATGATCTTAGGTGTAATGTACAACTCTGGTTTAAATTACGTTTTAAACCAGAAAAAGCTAGAAGTGTTGCATTACTATTCAGAGAGAAAAAAAAAAAAAAAATTTACACACACACTTTGCATAAATCAGTCATTGATGGCACTGTACCTGTGGTATTGGGCAACAACCCCATTCACCACTCTCAAGGCGGCAGCAGGTACTATCACCAGGACAACTGGTAGAGTCATCACACTTCACATCTGTATAGACAACGAAACTAGTCAAAGTGTTATATTTAAAAAAAAAAGTTCAGAGAATTGTTAATACAATTCAGGGGGTGGGGAGGAAACTTTAATCTTTTGTAGACAAACATTGAACACAATGTCCAGCTTGCTGAAGAGAACTATGGATTCACTTTAACATCCATGAATACATAAATGTGTTGGATTGCAGTCAGGACAGGTGGGACCTGGTTTACTGCAACAGATTAGACAAGATGAGCCTCACAGACTTGAACTAAAATGATTACACAATACACAGAGGACAAGGCTGCCTCTAGGAAAGTGATAAAGGAAACATCCATACAGACAACCTGGTTAACACGTGGAACATTTCCCTCTTCCCCCCCCCCAAAAAAAAAAAAACCTGGTAAACTTGCCTGCTTCTTCTAAAGCTGGAGTCTTTGTGAAGAGAGGGGTTTCCAGGCTGAGCGACGCACACTTATTATGAGTCAGGTCACAGCGCGTCCCTGAGGGGCAGCAGTGGACGTGGTCTCGACAGCAGACACCCTGCACGACAATGAACCAGGAACAGAGTTAGACTGCGACATACAGGGCGAGAGGCCATTCAGAGAGACACAAACTCCAGTGTAGAATTTAAGGATAGTTTTATTGTTACCATGGCAAAACTACAGTTAAACATTAAAGACTGCCAATCTAGTGCAAGATAAAGCCAAGAGAATTAAATACAAAAACATTTTTTTTCCCAAAATTCCATAGATAAGATGGACAAGCTGTAACTATAGACGAATTGGGCAATTTCTCACACTAAGCCAGGTTTCATGAATAACTACTTGAATAAAGTTCCACCCACTACAAACATCCATACCACTTGCCGTTAATCAGTTTGTAGTAGTGTAGCATGACATTCTTCGGTGTGTTCAGACCACCTCTTCTCGTAGTGGCCCATTTTAAGTTAATGACAAGCTATGGTCTCCACAATATTTGTGATAAATATTAGGCATCTTATTCTAAAATAGAGAGTGACCCACTGAGTTAAATGGGAGGGTTGTATGGGGCAATCAGAGCATGTCATATTGGCATAAGGTCTTGAGGGAGCAAGTTATGAGATGGCAAAACTTCTGGCCCTTAAGGCATTAAGTAACATGGCATACCTGCAAGAGTTTTTATCAGATCACCACCACTACCGTGATCTGTTAGAATGAATTTGTACTTGTAAACTATCGGCTCAATAGATTTTATGAGCTCAGACTAAATGAATGATTGGATTAATGAAAATATAGGTTTACCAACAGGTGAGATAAGGATTTACTCTATCAGGACAAGGTGTGTGGTTAGGAAAGAAAAGTTGCATATACAGCTTTTTCTGTTCTGACAAATTTAGAAGCAACAGGTTAACTGGCAGAGGGGGAGGGAGACTCTTAAGGCTGTGGTTGCGAGTTGTAGCATCCAAACAATATACTCTGGTTTTGGTAGAGATACAATAATTCTAGCTGAGCAGATTATGTACGCTTAAGTTCTAAGGACACAAACCTCAGTTCTACTAGTCTCAAATGCTCTATGGAAGATTACTTTTTTGGCATTTACAGACTGCCTCTTTACACACAGCAGCAAGTCAGACCCAAAGAGAGTCAGGCCCAGAATGCCTCACAAGTTCAGATCAAAACAGTATCAGTCTAGTTGAGTGGGTCCCAAACCAGTCCAGGATTTAGGGATTACCCAGTTGGCTATAAAGGGTTTCTCTTTTTAGAAAGACAACTCTAAATCACTAAATCCTGGATTGGTTAGGACTTGATTTGTTTTGGAAGCACTGGTCTAGATCGACATCACTGCTCATATTAAGGGGTAACAGCACATCTGAGCAGGGAGACAAGCGGGCAATTGAGATCTTGTGCAAACTGATCCAGAAGAAGACCACAAGATCATTGCTGTGCAGACTAGAGGAAGGGGATAGTTAAGACTAGAAATGCGTTCTGCTGCACCAACAGACCTCTGAAGGGATCTTTCCAGTAAATCTAAATAATGTCAGCCATACTCACATCTGTGAAAGGGCAGCATCCATATTTTCCATCTTTTTGGAGGCAACAGGTAGCACCGTTAGGACAGGTGGTGTGGTCAGAGCAGTTAGTCCGTTTGAAAATGTCTCCTGATAAAGACAAAGTAGGGTCCATGTAAAGGATACGTCAAGAACCATTTCAAACCTCCCACAAACACCACACTAAGACATGGAACGACGAAGTCTGGGCAAGATTCAGGTAGCAAAAACAGGAATCAACCATTTGTTGAGGTTAATAGAGGAGATTGTCAGCCCTACCGGGACACTGACCTGCAGATGTGACTATTCTCCATCTAACTTAAAATCTTTTAGATTATGAAAGTTGTACTCTAGATGCTGGTAAACCACCCTTAAGAATACTTAAAAGGTCAGTCTATGGCAACAAGACAAGGTCCAGGATGAAGTGGAAGTGACTAAACAGCCTCAATATGGCTTACCCAGTCCCACCAGTTTAACTCTAGCAGGAAGCTTGCGCATCCAGGGGGTTACGCCATCTTCAGACTGGCAGCGGCTATGTTGGACATCACATAGGGTATTGCGAGGACAACAGTGCAGGTGATCGCTGCAGCAAGACGCCTATTAGAGAGGCAAGAAGAAAAAAAGTCCATATTATAAACACAGTAGGTTTTGCTTTTTCACACAGGTTGTAAGAACAAAGTGTGCAACAGAGCTCATTCTGCAGGAAACAAAGTGCAGAATTCTGAAAGGTATTTTCCGATTAGTTCTACCGCTTAAGGTTCTAAACGTGTCAAACGATAAGCAAAATGTTATCTTAACTGAGCATAGATCACAGCAAGTTCTTGAGAAAGGAGTGGGTGGAAAGACAATAAAAATATCACCTGTGGCATTGGGCAGCATCCCCAGCTCTGGTCAGCCATTACACAGCACGTGGCATCACTTGGACACTCAGATTTTCCATCTGGGCAGATCACTGCAGATTGATTGGTGGCTAATGGGGGATGAAACATAGAAACAAAGAATGTGACGGCAGATAAGAACCATTCGGCCCATCTAGTCTGCCCAATTTTCTAAATACTTTCATTAGTCCCTGGCCTTATCTCATAGCAAGGATAGCCTTTGGGCATTTCATTATTATCTCACTTTTGGTAGCACTATGACCACATTAGTTTATAAGGTTTTTTTGGAAGTTCTGGGGTTTGTTGGTTCATGTAGGCACAAGCCTTGTGAGGTGCAGAGCTAACTAGGGACAGTGTTCATTCTATTTTTACTATGGAACTCTATTTGGCCTACACGGGCCTATTCTTCTGACTGTTTACATACAGCCTTACTTGACTGGTACACATATTTGAGACTCTTTTGGATACTACATAACCTGGACCTCACTATCCACCCAGGAGAAGTGGTTTATGCATGGTATTTATCTATTTTAGTATTTCCTTGACAATCCACCCTGCCCTAGAACCTCTGATCAACTTTGCTGTTTTGAGCTATCCGCATTTTAATGTTAGGTTTATTTAAAAGGTAGAGTTCTTTATATCACTCCCTTTCTCTACTGTGCCCTCTCCTAGTGTGATCCATCGGTTTGTGGATCACACTGAGATTTATTAGGACAGTCTTATGCCTGTCCCACGCATGCTTAAACTCCTTTACTGTGTTAACTTCTACCACTTCAGCTGGAAGGCTATTCCATGCATCCACTAGCCTCTCAGTTAATTAATACTTCCAGATATTAGTCTTAAATTAGAGGGACAAAGGTTTAAAACTATTTCCTCTTGTGGTAGTTTTTCCCCTTTTTCAAAATATATGGTTTCCTCCTTTACTGTGTTGATTCCCTTTATGTATTTAAATGTTTCTATCATATCCCCGCTGTCTCGTCTTTCCTCCAAGCTATACATGTTAAGTTCCTTTAACCTTTCCTGGTAAGTTTTATCCTGCAATCCATGAACCAGTTTAGTAGCTCTTCTCTAAACTCTCTAAAGTATAAATATTCTTCTGGAGATATGGTCTCCAGTATGGTGTTCAATACCACAAGTGAGGTCTCAGTGTTCTGGTGAACCCACATGTTTGATCAGCCAGAGGAGAGGAAGGTAGGAGAAGAAAAACAAAAAAAAAAAAACAAACACACACACACACACCACAATTTGTGGATAATATCTGACCTGGAATACAGTGGTGTCCATCTGAAGAGCAAAGAGTACCAGAAGGACAGCAATGACTTCCATCTTGGCAGGATGATCCCTTTGGAGAAGAAAAATAGTTTAAAAAAATAAAATAAAAAAATAAACTATTTTTCCCCACAACAGATTAAATCTCCCTTTCCCAGATCAATGTTTGTCAATGCAGTCCAAGGCTACAAAACCCCATGGTGGCCTAACCAGACTGCTCCTAAATGAAAGCAGAGTTCTCTGCCCAATCCACGGCTGGTACCAGTTTACCTGTGGCAGCGGACAGCAAGCAGAATTGCCCTGAGGGGTATTAACACAGCTGTATTCAGCAGGACAGCTTTCACGAGCCGAACACTCGTTCTCTGTGGAAATCATTGGAAGAGATCGGGACACAATCTATAGAGAAGAGGGCAGAAAAGAAACCCACATGGTTTACTCAGAAGAGGTTTATAACGTTAACCAGCTCTAACACTTAAGGCAATGCTGAATTAATTCCCAACAATTCTCATGTTGTGAATAAAATTTGCTTCACTGGGGTCCAGTGGCAACTGCACCCCAAAAAGGGTATGGAAACAGTGACTATATGAACATACATTTCAGCGCGTGCGCATGCACACATTCTAACTGCCAACACAACAGAACGCTGCAAACACACCGAAATACTGCCCTGCAAGTAAGGGCAAATGCTAAATCCCTAGCTGAGAGAGCATCATGGGGGTTGTACAATCCCACCTTTTGGCCTGCCTTGCACTAAAGGGGCCCCTAAATATATCTGTTGCACCATTAGCCTCTGTATTCGTTCTGCTACAGAAAACAGTTGGGCTATCATTGCAACATTCTTCTAGTCCCGTCTCAGATACCAAGACCCACACTTTTTGCCAATACTGTCCCATTTACCTCTTCCTTGGAGCAGCAACCATATCCCTGCTCACCAGACAGCTCACAGCACAGGCTGTCCTCGCCACATCTGGTGCCATCAGGACACAGGTTAGCAGCCACAGACGCTGCCAAAAGGGAAAGTATCCAGAGCGTCCCCATCCTGTTCCAGGAAATAAAAGACATTTTAAACAATTAGACATTAATACCAAGTAACTAAACATTTTACAGAATTGCATTTAAACAAAGGGTTCCCCTCCCCCTACAAACTCAGACAGGTAACAGTTTCAAGGTGAAACTTGTATGGAGTTTTGAAACAGTCAGAACTGGGTACACAGGAAGGAAGAGATAGAGAAGGCATGGTGGTGGGAGCACGAGCGCATATCTAAAATGCCATTACCAGAGCTATGACAAGCCACAAAGGGGCAATGAGGGGGTCTTCCAATAAAGTTTTCTATGAAAGTAAAAAAGGGTTTATTAAAATCTGTAGACTAGATTGCACAGTCTTATGGGAAAATAAGACTGAATCTTCAGATTTCTAGAGCAGACGCTTTCATGCTTCTGAACATTGCGTTACACTGTTATTAAGATCGAGATAATATTCAGACCTGTTTGAACTTGACCCAGATTTGGGAGTCACCAGATAGACATTTACACCCAGCGGAAGAAAGGTGAGGAGTGCAGTGATAAAACTGCATGGTCTGCAGAAAATAAATCGCTCCTTCAGAGAGCCAACCATCAATCTAAACTCCAGTAGCAAACCTTAAAATGATTTTGTTAGTTGTGGTGCAGGTTAACTCCTCAGGTTATAAGTGATGTGCAGATTAACACTTCTAGAAGAGTGTGAGTTTAGGGTTATACCAGAAAACCTTTAACCTGTAGGGCCAAAATAGCCCTTCAAGGTCAATATTAATCCAGTGTTTTAGAGGTTTAAAGTAGGTTAAACTACCATTTTCAGGTGATGGTTACTCCAGCTACCCACCATCTAGTCAGCCATACTGTCACTTAACACGTAAACCAATATCGTTTTTTAGACTATGAGATATATAGATTTATAAATATAACAGCACATGCATGTATACATAGACCAAATCAGACTTTCTAGAAAGGATGCAGGTTTCTGAAAAAATTTTTGCAGAAAAATAAGATATTACGTTCCCTTAATCAGTTACAAACACCTCCCTGTACAAACTAAAGTCCTGCTTGTTTTTATCATACCCCTGCCAAGAATGAAGGAGGAAGTGAGTTTGTTTTTTTGAGAATGAGAATTCAAAGTAAACAGTCAAACTTTAAAAATGATATGCTTAGCTAGTCCATCTTTAAATATGAAATTCCCTTTGAATAAAGTGAATCAGTAACTCAGGATGTTAATATTTGTAATAAATACACATTACTGAAGAGAACAAACATTATTGCCTCAAGCACGCCAAGGTGAGGCCTGTCTGTACCGTTTCTTCGTGACAAATGTGACTTCTTAAACAACTTGGTTGGCTTCGTGCAACATGTTACGAATGTAGACACTGCTACGCTTTCACATTTTCTCTTTATGGTTTATTATTGCAATACGTTCAATAAAAAAAATAAAAAATAAAAAAAAAAGTATACAGTTCCCTCAAAAACCTACTCCACCCCCAAGGTAACCATGACAGTGGACTGTGTTGCATACAGTCTGCAGAATATACCAGGAGTAGCGAGAGTGTGCGAGTCATTCCAAATAATTAATCTTAGCGCTTTGCTAGAAGGCATGATTAGGGTTATACATACATTAATTTAGATGTGTACAGTGTCTAGATCAGGGGTAGGCAACCTATGGCACGTGTGGCCTATCAGGAGTCGCAGTGAAACTTCAGATATCTGCTGATACGAAAAGGTAGTGAATTCTCAATTTATGCATTGCTGCACGTAGAGGAAGTGAGCTCAGATAATTTCCTCCCAGCACTTGTGAATGAGAATCCACACTGTAGTATAGCAGCCTGCAGCTCCCGTCCTTCAGCTGTACCTGGCCAGCCTGGTCCCCACCCACACTGTTAGATATACACGGAGCTGCAGAATAACCCTCCCCTCATACAAATAATATGAACAGCCCATAAACAAACTCACAATCCGCACAAACATAAAACCCACTAACAATCCATATACATGCACACAACCCCACGTGCAATACCCGAAACAGACCCATACATACACACACACACACACACACACACACACACACACACACACTACCAAATACACAGTGTGACATATCCATACACAATTCTACAAGCAGCCCTCATACACGATACCACAAACTACTCATGGATAGAGATGTCGCGAACCGTCCGCGGCGAACTCCGGTCAGCTGGCACATCCCGGCCAATCTCCGGCAGACCCTCCCACCTCCTGGACAGCATCCAGTTGAAGCTGCCTTCAACATGGAAGCTGTCCAGGAGGTGGGAGGGTCTGGGAGACAGGGTCTGCCAGAGATTGGCCGGGATGTGTCAGCTGACCGGAGTTCGCGGCGAACCGTTCGCAACATCTCTACTCATGGACATATACAATATAATATCTCAAATACGACGATACAAAGCAACTGCAGTATAATTAACACAAGCAGAATACGGCAACATGCACACCTCAATTTAATAAAAAAAATTTAAATAGGACATCACAATCCTATTTCAGCACAGCTAAAAGGTTGCCTACCCATGGTCTAGAATCTAGACTCTATATGGAAGTTTAGTTCTAGGAAGCTTGGATTTTTTACTACACTGGAAATATTCAAGAGGTGAGAACATACATGTAAATAAAAAAAATAAAAAAAGGAAGGTCTACCAGATAGAGACTTTGCAACTTTAAGTTACTGGAAACTAGAGCAATTTATAGAAAGATTAAAAAAAACAAAAAACCATAAAGTGAATGATAAATGGTTTGTGTTTTCTAAGAACTAGTCTTAAAGATTTAAAGAAGCATTGTGTTTAAATGAACACACACCATGCATATCCTCTACGTCTCTGTAGTGGTTATGGTGCAATGAGAGCATGTGGCCAGTAAGAACTTCAGCAGGGTTTAGTTCGATACTGGAAACTGCAGTTACTGCTTAGGAACTTCCAGCTCTCCAGAGTTAAAAGTGGAGGTGGGAAGTAGCACTAAATGTGTAAATAAAATTAAAAAAAAAAAAACAAAGAAAAAGGGTTGTGGTGCTTTGAGTGTTCCAATCAAAAACCAAACGAGCCCTGTCAAATGTAATATTTATTTTTTTTAATTAAAAAAAATAAAATAAAAAAGGCACTGGTCCATTTGTTGGACAGACAAGCTACCAGAACTACCTGGTTGAATAATATGTATAGTGATTATGGTGCTTGGAGGGGGACACTTAGTATGGTCACCAAGATTTTTTGGGGGGGGGAAGCCAGACTAAAAACCTTTAAATTTACATTCTATGTCTGGCTATTCTGGCAGAGTCAGAACATGCCAAGAAAATTACATACATGATACTTACACATGTCCAGCACAACTGAAAATGCTCAAAAAGTCATCAGAAATATTAAAGGAGTACACCCCAGGCACACAATGCCCTCAAAAGGATTGGTATACTATCCAACTGGACAAAGAGGGACAATTTTATTTTAGGGGTATGTGTGGTAGGCCAGTGGCCAGGCTGTTCTGGGAGGTTTAAGATGACCAACTAAAAGGTAATTTAGAACAAGCACAATGGATCTTAACTACACAGACTGATCTAAACACATTTATTGTAGTTTAACAACACATTACTGGGATGATTATTATTATTATTATTATTATTATTATTATTATTCCAAATTCCATAGCGCTGTACAATGGGTGGACTAACAGACACATAATTGAGATCAGACCACTGACGTACAGGAACAGAGGGGGTTGAGGACCCTGCTCGATGAGCTTACATGCTATTATACACTCAGATACACCAACAATATGGAACGCCTAGAAAAGAGGACATTATGAAAGTGGGACAGAGTTTTGGATTCAAAGTGAACTGCCCCTCCTAAATAGGGACACTTGGGAGGTATGCATAGGTCATCTCTAATCAGGGAAGTTTGATGTGCCCATAGCAGTACTGCATTTACTGCCTGATGTCAGTTGGCCACTCAACCAATGATTGCAGTGCTGCTCTGCGCAAAAAGGACATCCAGCTTCTCCTACTAGAGAAGACCTATGAAGCTTGGATTCTAGAAATGAACCAGACAAGTTATCAATTTGCACCAGGACAGTTTGTGAGCACCAGAACTAATTTTGTTGGCAGTAGTGGTTATGGTGTTTGGAGTCCCACCTTAATCAGAGAAAGTCCCGCCTTCACCCACTGTTTCCTTAGGACATGTTGTGCCATAATTAAAATGTGTGTCTTGTTTATTGTACAGCACTGCAGAATGTTAGCAATATGTGATCAATTGTGAATTATTTTATAAACACTCACTATAGCTTCCCTTTAAAAATCTGTGAAAGCAATGTCCTTTAATTAAACTAATTCATTTTAGAGCAAACAGGGTGGAGTGGGCTGTATTTTTGGTTTATTGGCCAGGATTTTTAATTAAAGAGACACTAACCACACTAGTTTCACTTTCACCGTCTCCTTGTTACAGCTCAAATAAGGGGGTGTAGGGGTTTGTAAACAAGACAAAACTAAAAAACTACAAGTCACCTACACACCTCTTCTTGATAGGTTAAGTCTAGTTGATGCCATCACATATTTGCAATAAATATTCAGCTTATTAAAACAGGTTGTATGACTTGCCACAATTTCATGGAAATTCCCCACCCACCACATGCAGTCTACAGAAAATAAGTTTACAAGCCAGTGTTCTGACCAGATCAATAACTAGCCAACACACCAATCCCTACAGCCACACTGGTATCCTACTGCACCCCCACTGTGCCAAGCCCCTCCTGTCCCCTTAAATCCCTGGTCACAACAACAGCACTGGCAGGGGTAAAGTTCAACAAGTAAAAAGCACTGTCCCTGTTGGTTAATTACTTTTATTACCCAACCCCATATGTACACAGTGAATCATGTGATAATAGCAAGCCTGCATTGCAACAATGTCCCACTACAATTCTACATACACCATCAGAGAGTGTGAGAGATATTTAGATAAATAATATATAGGTTTGTGGGTTGTTTTTTTTAAAATTAAATGCACACTATTTAAATACAGAATATAGATTGCAAGCTCTTTGGACAAAGCCCACCCAAACAGCATTACTACCCCCTCATCCCATAATACTAACACACAGACACCCACCTGACAGGCTGCCACTGCTGACTGTGAGCTGCCCCCTTGGTCCCAATATATTACACAGGCTCCATTCCTGCCCATTAGTGGGAGGGATTTAAACATCCACCAGACAGTGCATTGAGACAGCCAGCTGGGAGGAGGAGGGGGGAGTCATGTGACAAAGCCCAGGTCACATGACAACACACCCAGTCACTTGACCTGAAAACCTCATTTTGTTTATTGTACTGTCTCATGAACAGGTGATTTTGTTATTTTTTACTGGTATCTTCCTTGCGGGTGTTTTTTTTTAGGTTTTTTTAACCCCTTAAAGACACATGACATGTCATGATTCCCTTTTATTCCAGAAGTTTGGTCCTTAAGGGGTTAAGGCTTGCCTGAGAATGTGTGTTATTTGGAATGCTTTTTTATTTTTTTAATCTCAATGATAACCTAAAATGCAAATAAACATCTTTTTATTTTTTTGTTATGTATTCTCTTTTTATTCACGAAATACCAAACTGTATTGAAATAAAATCCAAATTGCTAAATTCTAAACAGCTTATCTATGGCTGCAGCTGAGTCGGCAAATTTCTGTGAATCAGAGAAAGTAATAGATTGCACTGCCCCTAAACAGGTTATTAATTTGCCTTTCCCCTTTCATTCTTTGCAGAGATATGGTAAATGGGACAAAGCAATTCATGGTTCAGGCTCCACTGTCTCACCCCTGGGTCCTAGGCAGCCGCTTAAAGTCACCTTATGGTTAATACCGCTTTGTTGCAAATAAATACTTTGTGCCTAAATTCTGCAATTTTGTTCTCCCTTAAAAGGTCACTCCAATCACCATGACCACTCCAGTGATTTGAAGTGGTCATGGTGGTAGGAGTCTGTATGAGCAATGTTTCAGCTTGGAACACTACACATATTGTGTGCTTGCGCGCATGCACTCTGTGCCATCGAAACGGTCCAATCACAGAATGTTTTATAAGAAATGGCGTGGAAAGCCCAGCGCTGCTTTCCAGGTAAGTAAAAACCTATTTTATGATAAAGAAAAGGGGATGGACAATTGTTATAGTGCCCAACAGGGCAGTGTCAGATCAAAAATGCCTTGTCACAAAGGGTTATAGTAACCATTTAACTACAAATTGCTGTATTGGTTACCAGATTCACCATGTTTTCATGGACACATAATTTTGTCATATTTGTGAAAATTCATGAAAAGTGTTGTCCAGCAGTATATATAATGCATATGTTTCAGGATTCTTCATTGCCGAATTACTTAAATGGACACTCCAGTGCCAGGAAAACAAACCGTTTTCCTGGCACTGCAGGTCCCCTCTACCTCCCACCCCCCATCCCAGGTTGCTGAAGGGGTTAAAACCTATTCAGTGACTTACCTGTATCCCGGCGGGGGTGACCGATTGCGCATGCGCGGCCGCCGGCGTGGTGAGACCTAATGCGCATGCGCACCAATGCTGCGCACGCGCACCAATGCTGCGCACGCGCATAAGACCTCCCCATAGGAAAGCATTGAAAAATGCTTTCAATGCTTTCCTATGAGGATTTCAGTGATGCTGGAGGTCCTCACATAGCGTGAGGACATCCAGCGACACTATAGCACAGAAAATCTGTGCTACGAACCAGGAAATGGCCCTCTAGTGGCTGTCTAGTAGACAGTCAATAGAGGAGGAGTTAACCCTGCAAGGTAAATATTTCAGTTTATGAAAACTGCAATGTGACGAGACCAATCTCGCCACATTGCATTGGAGAAGCCTGGTTGCTCGCCTGCTGCCTTTGGACTATGGCCCCCTTTTAAAAGACTTTATTTTTGCATGCAGAAAAGCTGTATTCGTGCTTTTCTGCCGGTTGTTCGGTAGTTTCAATCTACCGAACAATCGTACGAATGACTGGACCACCTGGGAGCTGGAGTGTGCCGGCAATTAACCTCCCTGAAGCTGCGGTTAACCGCAGCTTAATTGATGAACGCTGGGTGGCCGCCATTCGTATCCCGAACACGAGGTCGCAGCCATTTTAAACCATACGAATAAACAGCGGTGTTCGCCTCTATTTTCATGGAACTAAAATCGGACACAGTTTTGCGCGAACACCGCTGAAGCCGCCGACCTCCCTTCTTGTTCGGTGAAAGTGCACGAATGGCCCGGTGTTCGGTATTTTTGTTTGAATGTCTTATACCCCAGATAGGATTCCCATGGAGCCCATTCGTATGAAACTGACTGTAAAGACTTTGGCTCCATGGCGATTAAACTGTATTCGTGTGGTCTGGGTGCCATTCACCTAATAATGTGCACTCAGACCTGAGCTATCTGGGGATATGTTACATGTCTGTGTTTTATGTAGTAAATGTTACTTTGTGCATTTTAAAGTATAATGCTGGTTTTGTGTCCCCACGTGTGTAATGGAGTTTTTCCTTTGTCTTGGGAGATAATTGAGTTACTTCCCAATTATCTCCCAGGGCAGAGGGGAGGAAGCCAGGATGCATTGTGGGAATATACTGTGACTGTGTGTCCTATTTGTCCACTTGTCTGTCCCTTGTCACAGTCTCCCATTTGGTCCCCTAGGGGAGTGTCCACCAGGTGGGAGACCTGCATAAATACTGGGCAGGTAGCCCTCATTAAACAGACCACTGCTTGACCCTCAACACGGAGCCTTGTCTCGTCTTTGGGGGGATTTACTGTATGCTGCTAAGGACTGATTGCCAGGAGTGTAAGCCGCTTGGAAGCTTTTCCTGTTCGCCTGCTAGCAGCTATTCGTATGGTTCCTGTTCGTTTATTTGAAGTGCTACCTTATTCCCTTGTATGCCGTTCGGGAGTTTGGAGCATTCACTTATTGGCGGTTCGTGAGTTTTGGTGATTCTACAGTAGCTGTGCCTGTCTCTAAAAGGGGATTATCGTCTAAGCGGTTTTTTCCCCTTTTGTGCAAAACGGTCCGTTACAATTGGTGGCAAGCGGCGGGATCGTTCCCACAGACTACAGGACAGCTACAGGAGACACCATTCCGTGGATTTACAATTTGAGGGCAACGCATGTCTGAGTACAGCGACCCTGACAGCAACAGCATGGAACCAGCAGTGTCATACGAGGAGAAGGACCTGGATGGCCGGGATGCATTAAGGAAAGGCATCTGGTACCAGGCCCTGGATAATGTACAGTACCAGCGGGGTGAGAGTCTCCCCAGTGAAGAGCAGCGGTTGCAGAAGCAAGTGGCCCTGCGGATGCCCTTCCTGGGAGAGCAGCCCCTAGATGAATGGGTGAAGGAATTGGAGCACCGGGTATGGCAGGAGATTTGGCTGGAAGATGCATACCAGGCGCTTTGGTGGTATGGGGCACAGTACCTGCCCTGGACAGCCGAGCATGACAAGCCAGAGGGAGAGGAGTTTGATGGTCCTGGCTTGTTATGGGAGGCTTTTTCAGAGCCTGAATTTGGGAGCCCTACACAAGCCCGGTTCAGTGATCTCTTGGAGTGGAGGGAGAGCAGGTATGACTGGGACGACACTCACGACATTGAGCAAGACCTGGCTCACCTAGCAACCCTGGAGTGGGAACTGGAGCAGGACTACCGAGATCTCTTCCACTCCATTGAAAAGATTCAGCAGGACAGCAAGGTGACAGATCCAGTTCCAGACCCATTCAGCTGGGAAGACATTGTGGATATTTTCTGGGAAGAACCCCAGGTGGCCGGTAGAGATGGGACCGAGGTCTCTCCACCGGTCCTGCAGGGAATTGGGAGCCCAGTCTCCATTCCCCAGCGGCCGTGTGATTTATTGGGAATTGGGAGCCCAGTCTCCATTCCCCAGCGGCAGTGTAAAGTGCAGGGAGAGGAGAGCAGCGTCCTCCCTCCCCAGCGGCAGGCTGAGTTACAGGGGGCAGAGGTAGTTGTTCCTGCCCTCCAGCAGCAGAGTGATATGCCGGGAAGGCAGTGTAAAGTGCAGGGAGAGGAGAGCAGTGTCCTCCCTCCCCAGCGGCAGGCTGAGTTACAGGGGGCAGAGGTAGTTGTTCCTGCCCTCCAGCAGCCAAGTGATATGCCGGGAAGGCAGTGTAAAGTCCAGGGAGAGGAGAGCAGTGTCCTCCCTCCCCAGCGGCAGCGTGATTTTTTGGGAATTGGGAGCCCAGTCTCCATTCCCCAGCGGCAGTATGATGTTTTGGGAATTGGGAGCCCAGTCTCCATTCCCCAGCGGCAGTATGATGTTTTGGGAATTGGGAGCCCAGTCTCCATTCCCCAGCGGCAGCACAGATTATTGGGAATTGGGAGCCCCGTCTCCATTCCCCAGCGGCAGAGTGTCCTACCGGGAATAGAGAGCCCAGTCTCCTTTCCCCAGCAGCAGGACTCTGTATTGGGAGCAGAGACAGTCGGTCTCCCTCCCCCGCAGCTGGAAGTATGTATGGGAGAGGAGCCTGTTATCCCCTCTCCCCAGCGGCAGCTTAATGTACCAGGGGGAGACAGTAAGCCCCACAACTGTGCAGATGGGACCGTAGTCTCTACACTGCCAGCACAGGGGGTAGGGACGGTCGGTCCTGCCCCCCAGCGACAGGGCTGTTTAGCCAAAGGGGAGACAGTCGGTCTCCCCCTCCAGCAGCAGAGATGGGTAACCAAAGGGGAGACGGTCGGTCTCCAGCAGCAGGACTGTGCATCTAAAGGGGAGACAGTCAGTCTCCAGCAGCCGAGCGGTGTATTTAAAGGGGAGACAGTCGGTCTCCCCCTCCAACAACCAGGTTTCAACCAGGCTACCCTCCCAGTAGCGCTGGCAACAGGGCAGAGTGCCGCTGGTCTCTGCCCACGCAGCAACCCACCAAGTCAGCGTACCCGTACCCAGCCCAGCCTTGGTGAGGCACCTGGACATGGACAAGCTTCTCCTTTACCCAGGTGTAGTAACCATTTATTGTGGGTGGGCTGTGCTGTTGATTATTTGTTGTGGGTGGGCTGCTGGACTAACAAGGGCACTGACCGGCAGGAGGTCAGATACCCTGTTAGTCTGTTTGGAAAAGGGGAGAGATGTGACGAGACCAATCTCGCCACATTGCATTGGAGAAGCCTGGTTGCTCGCCTGCTGCCTTTGGACTATGGCCCCTTTTAAAAGACTTTATTTTTGCATGCAGAAAAGCTGTATTCGTGCTTTTCTGCCGGTTGTTCGGTAGTTTCAATCTACCGAACAAC